GGTTAATATACTTTCCCACTTTTCAAAATTTGTTTCTTCACAAAAGAAACTTTCACAGATCTTCACTTACCTTGTAATTAATTACAGGTGAAACTAATACACGCAATAATAATCAGAGATAATACAAAAAAATTAGAAGAAAGTATTAATTTTTCAAATTTCCATTTACCCACGGAGAAGATCGAGATCTTTGTTTGCCAGATGGATCATCGTCGGTACACTGTTAGTGTCGAAGTCGACTAAATTTCCAGCACGTTCTCGTCTCTTTCTTTCATTTCTTCTCTTCGTCCGAGGCTCGTTATCGCAACGATGACATAACTTCCGATGGAAGATACGAAAAAAAAAAAAGAGAAAAGGTAGCCAAAGTGTTTGACACACGCTAGGGACATCACCATAGGGTTGGTTGCACGCTTCAAACAAACATCGAGACTCGTAAATAGACGAGATCCCGTGGAAAATTCTTGGAGAACCATGGACGAGGCTTATCTCTGCTGTGAGTGACTTTCCATACAACTCGAAATATCAATACTTCGCTCCTTCGACGGTAATTTGAAAGAAGAATTCTAGAAAAATATATTTTTACGAAAATATGAAATTCTTTTTTATTTCATTACGACGAGTGTGACACCGAACTTTTTACTTCGTTTTCAACATTCGGACGTAACATGTGATTCACTAGTGAAATTTCTATCCACGTTATTATACTTTTAACATGTGTTAGCACAACTTAAGTAAATTTAACACAGGAAAAATGTATTAAAGTATAGTGATAAGCGACTGCTAAGTGCTTCGGTGTCCGTTTCCCAGAGTGTCCTCTCTGCGTTCTATCCTGCGCTGCTCCGAGAAACCGTTGGAGCTCCCTCGTTCGACTTTCCGGGGAAAGAGCTTAGTTTATGATACCCTCAGGTACCCGCGCGCTTTCTCTTCTGTAAGGAATACTCGCAAAACAAAGAACTAATATCCGGATAGTGCGGTATCCCAAAAATAACTTAATCTTTATTTCTAAGCGCTGCTTAAGATTTCCGGCGTCCGTCTTGCTCGACGGTTATTTCCAGAATGTCCTTTCCGCGTCGTATCCCACGTTGCTCCGAAAAGCCGTTGGAGCCCCCTCGTTCGACTTTCCAGGGAAAGGGCTCGGTTTATGGGACCCTCATGTACCCGCGCGCTTTCTCTTCCTGGGTGACAAATTCCAGGCCACCACTTTGCCGCCGGAATCTCGCATTTCTTACACTTCCTGGGTGAGAAAGTCCAGGCCACCACTTCGCCGCCGAAATCTCGCATTTCTTACATATGATCGATGGGTATGTACGGTATTGTGTGGGCCGCTGCCCCTTTTCCCGTTTTTATATGCTATGTGGGTGACGGGAGAATAAACGTACTCGTGCTCGCGCTTGAAATCTTTTATCTCTGAAAACCCAGACGAGACGTCTGATGTCGCTCGTGCGACTTTGAATCCCTTCGCGTCGTCGGTCGGGACCCTGGCTGCCCTCGGAACGGATCTCAAGTGCCTCCCCGCTTTCCGAGGGCAGCCATCCTTTATCGGCCCGCCGCGACATCGACAGCGACGAAAGACACGTCCGTTGCGTGCGTCTCGCAGTCTCGATGGTGTTTACAATGTGGCGCCGTGCGCGCTGCATGGGCCGCCACAGCTTCTTCGGCCGTTAGGGCCCTGCAAGCCTGCGGTGCTCCTTGTCTAGGGCCCCCTGCGGCTCGGGTCCCGCGGTCGTTGCCTAGGCGCGTCGCACATGATCGACTCTAGAGATTCGGAAAAGGAATCATAGGTTAAGGGGCTAAAAAAGCTGCACCGTTACGCTTTACACATATCGAATAAACGCTGGTTGACGTCTTATCGCTGAACAGTTGTCCGACTAGCGGCCTCCTTAACGTAATCGCATTTCCACCGGAGTTTTCGCAATTTACGATTGACCTAATCGCAACTGCAACGGATCTACCACTGGCTGGTACGAGATCCGACGTATTCGCCGCTAGTAAAATCGAGTTTACGAGGACTTAGTCGACGATATTCTCGGAAGATCCTGTTTGCTCGCGTTGCGATCACGCTCCGAACACGAACACGGCAATTAGTAGCTGCGTTGATAAAGGTGTGACGAGATTAAATCGACGCCTGGGTGTCTTCTAGCGATTTAGGCGACGACGATCATCGCACCTCTCCTAATCTGATTGCTTCAACTTCTCTTTCGAGACACAGACGTACTATCAGACAAAGAAGCAGCGGTTCTTGTACATACGTTATCTCGCAATTCGAGAGATTATTCGCGGATTTTCGCACCGTTCCTCTGCTATTTCACGGTTGAAGTAGAGTGATTACTACTTTGGTCAGACAGAATTACGAATACACCTGTCCCCCGATTTACACGGATGATCGGTTCCTCAGAATACCGTGTAAATCGAAATCATGGCCTTTTGCATGAAAAACCGTGTAAATCGGGGAAAAAAGAAAATGCGCATTATTTTAAATGTAAAATAAGAATAAGGGTTTAGTTTCGAGCGAGCGATCGATGAAGGCGAAAATAGCCGGTCGCCAATGAAAGATCCGCGGCGGCAGCAAACTTTACGTTACAATATGAATGCTTTTTGTGTGCAAAAAAGGGAGAAATTCCGTTCATTTTTTGGTTTAATGCCAGTGTTAACAAACGGACGGTACTAAAAAATGACTACAAATATGTGCACAGCATAAACTTTTATTTTTAACAGTTTATATTTCTGAAAAGCTGTTATTTTGTAAACCGTGTAAAAGTGAAATCGTGTAAATTGGGGGATAGGTGTACAATTTTTTTGACTGTATTTTTACTCGTTTCTGTTGATTTTTGGTATTAATTCGTTCTTCTCGAGATGTTGAAAGATCGTTCAATATTTGGACAATATTTGTTCAGTCACGAAACAGGCTATTTTTGTTTTTCAACGAATGTAACAGAAACTTGAATAAATCGTGTGAATTAACGCTAGCAGAGAATATTTATTTTTATTTTGAACGATGTTTATGAAGAGCGATATTTGGAGCTGAAAATTTGGATCGTTTCTAGAGTTATTGTAGATGATTTGTGAATCGAGTATCGTCGCCAAAAGTTCCACTACATCTGCTATAATTCCGTAACCGGTCGTGCAGCGTTGCTTGTTATCGTCCAGTAGCATTATCTTCAGAAATGAACGCTCCTCTTTTTTTTTTAATTATGGTAGTTTCATTGTTAATGGGTGACGTTGTTCAATATTGCAGTCATTACGTTGAGTTTAAAAATGCACCGTTCTGTAAACATTGCAATTAGAAGATAATCTTTCGAAGTATCTGAACAATTTGTTGGAACCATTTTTGTTGCAATAGTGTTTATCTGTTTTATTACGAACGCTGTAATTACACTTATTATTGCGTTGATAGTTAATTTTTGTTCTGACGTTGTTGAAGTAGAAGAGTAATTAATACGTGAGTGGAAGGATACAGCTTATGCGAATTATGCAATTGTATTTCTCGATTATTACTTCATCGACCGAAGGAATATTGTGGGAAAGTTGTAAAAGAGGAATATTTTCTATCGCTTTACGATGTTCATCTGTGCTCCAAGGCAATCGTGTATTGTGAAAATTTGTTTTGAATATTCTCCAATGAAAATTCTTCGATTCCGCGAAGCAGTGATATTCTGAAGCTTCGTCGATGCTTATTAACAGCAAATGAAAATTCAAAAAAAAAAAAAATTGTGAATTCATGGTTATCCAAAATGGCCCCCATCAGTGTAAAGAAATCTCTTCAAAAATTTGTTTCGGAGACTTTTCAATAAAAATTTGTACATTGTGTGAATCTACAGTGTCTAACAAT